GAAACGTTGCCACTGCTTCATTTCATTCCTCAGCCCTGAATGAGCTTCACCAGCCCTCGAGAGTCATGCTCTGCCTCGGCAGCCTCTGTTTCAGGGAATTTTATTGTTAGTCCCTGGATTTCCTGCCCAGAATATGTCAGGGTTCATTTTGCTGTCGTGTGGAAGGCGAGGTGAGGGAGAGCCCCACGGCCCTCCTCCCAGCCGTGCCCAGCACACGGCACGTTTGCTCTCACAGCCACGGCCTGAATGGGCCTTTTGGCAGAGGAACTTTCTCACGGCAGTAGCTGGAGGACGGTGGCCCCTCCAGTAACCCTGTTTTCCCAGAGCTGGCTCCATCTAACAGCTTGGCTCCTTCTCCTCTCTTTTGATTTCTATCTGTCTGATGGGCAAGAATTATTCTTGGGGCTCTGTGGCTCTCCTCGGAGAATGAGAATTAGGGAAGCATTTGGGTTTGCTTTGTGTTGGGGAACAGGTTCATGCCTGGCTTTTCCATCTGGACAGGGATTCTCCTGTCCTTTCCATACTGCTGCCAGAGTGTTCCAGTGGAAACTGTCCCATGGCTGTTTGTGACAGTGAGCTGCTAGGGATTTATCAGGTAATAGGAAAGGCAGGGTTTGGCAAATGAGTTGAAACTAGTGTTGAGAGATGAAGGGTTTTTTTCAGAGTTTAATCAGGGTTAAATGCTGAAAGAGACTCTGTATGGCTCTGAAGTCTTCCAGACGGCTGCATTTACTCCTGGCTTGGAAAAAAACACCCCTGAATGCTCGTGATACATGTGGCTTTATACACACACATACAAATATTTAGACATATATGTATGCATATATGCACTCTACTATATATGCATATACATGTGCAACTACCTGCAGCATTTTTCAGTGAGCTAAAGCTGCTGGCTTGGATCCTGAAGGCCCCACGAAGCAGTGAGGTCCCTGTGGAGCACGCTGCTTTCTAACCATCCTGAAGTTTCCCTAATTGGATTTGTTCACATATGCTGCACCTGATAAGCAGGAGGTTAATAAGAAAGTACGTTGATTTTTTCTTAGTTGCCAGATTCCTTTTTTTTAGCCGAATAATTTCGGGGAGGAGTACCACTAAAGGCATAATTTTATTCCTGGCCTTAATGTAAGGGAAGGATCCTTGTAAAGGAAGGATTACTGTATTTTAAATGCTCAGCCTGTCCGTCAGCAGCTCAGTTTAAATGCAGTAATTCCAGTTGGTTCCCATCAGCTGAGGGTTTTTAAGATTCCTTCCCCTCCCCTCTACAGACTGCATCCCGTGCTTGCTGTGCATTGTACAAGGGGGAATTAAATAGCAATACCTCCATTGAAAACAATTATTTTTTTTTTTGATAATGCTGTTTCCATCTAGGATCCCAGAGTGCATGACATCAGCACTGAGCTAGATCTTTCTATCGAAGATGCCAGACAAGCAACTTCATTTAGACCCAATCTGGCCGAATTGTGCCAAACCTGGTTGTATATCCATCCTTAAAACTGATGGGAAGGATTTTTTGGTTTTTTCTCCCCCAACATTCTGTGTCAAGAAAAATGTTGAAATTGCTCTTAAGGCTGCAGTCCATGTGGAAAAAAAGGCAGTGTACTGGAAGGGTAGATGAGCTGATTTGCTGTGTTCTCTACCTCTAATGCATCACTTGCAGGAAAGTGTGTTGAACATTCTGAGAGTAAAAGTAATTCTAGGGGCAGAGCCCAGTAAAAGAGAGTTGGAACCATCTGTACCCAAATGTGATTGAGACAGTTTAGTGAAGACACTTCAAGAAAGCCCTGAGACTGCAAAGCATTTGTGGTTTGAACTATAGTACTAAGACTTCTAATGCTCTCAAAGGAAGAGGTGATTGAATCTTGGCAACTCCCTTGGTCATCTCCAAGATGCAAAAAAAATTAGTCTACTACTGTACTGAGAGAAAGGAAAGCCTTTTGAAAAGTAATAAGGCTAAGAAGGTTCATTAAATCATATATACCAGTCCCTCTTCAGATATTCTGTGTGTAGTTTTCATACCCTGTCACAGAATTATGGAGTAGCTTAGGTTGGAATGGATCTTAAAGATCATCTCGTCCAGCCCCTTGCAGGGACATCTGCAACTAGAGCAGGTTGCTCAGAGCCCCGGCCAACCTCCCCTGGAATGGTTCCAGGGATGGGGCAGCGACCACCTCTCGGGGAAACCTGGGCCAGGGGATCAACACCCTTGGTGTAAAAAATTTCTTCCTTCTATCTAGTCCAAATCTCCCTCTTTTAGTTTAAAATCATCATCCCCTTATCCTGTTGCAACAGGCCCTGCTCAGAAGTCCCCCCCTCCACCCCCAGCTTTCTGGCAGGCCCCTGACAGCACTGAAGGCCACCAGAAAGTCAGTGTTTCGCTTCTTCCTGTGCCAAAATGATCTTAACTCTGAGCCTTTGTGCTTTTGGGTGGTCCTGCATTCCTGCTGTCTGTTCAGCATTAGTGGCTAGCAGAGTTTAGCAGCTGGGATTTTGACATTTTTTTTTCACGAATTTGTTAACATATGAGAATTTCCCTGAACTTCTGAGTGAGGCTGGAAGGCTTGGAATAATAGCAGAGGTTAGAGGGGGATACAAAGCTTCTTTGCTTTGAAATTGTTGGCTAAAATCAGTGAGACACGTCAAGAGCTGACTTTGCAGACCCCTATCCTTGTCTGAGTCCTGCTTTCAGTGGTGTTGCTGGTGGTGAAAAAGGGGTGAGGCTTCTGGAGTGGTTGTGAGGGACATGATGGGAATGGCAAAGGGAAGCAGCTTTGGCTTTTTACCTGTGGGTTTTGTCCTCTCCTTCTGTAACCATCCCCTCAGTCAGTGACAAAGAGCAGTGATAGCAAAGGTGACACCAGCGAGCGTGGGGTGTTTGTACTCCTGCCCTTCATAGGTCACAGCCACCCCTGACAGACTTTGGGGCTTGTCCATATTAGCTTGGGGGGTACTCAGAGGTCCTTAATGTCTCCCCAGCATCACTTAGACACTTGGGGCCAGATTTGCAGAAGCACTGGGGCACTACAGAGCTGTTCAGGTACCTGCGTTCCTGATGTAAACAGCCTGACAGCGGCTTGGCTCAGTTTTCCGTGGAAAGTGGGTCACTGGGAATAAGTGGTTTAGCTCCGTGTCATTTGAGGAGAGGACTGAAATAATGGGCAATAATGGTGGTTTAACAGATGCAGGCTGACGTCAGGCTGGCACCGGGCGTTTTGGGACTCCCGAGCTGCTCTTGGGTGTGCAGTGGGGTGATTTTAACATGCTGAGGGATGCAGATGTTGAGTGCTTTGGAACATCTAGTGTCCTGAATGCTTGGGAACGTACAGGCAAGAAATACACAGGAGTAACAATGTCTGTAATGCTGTAAAAACTAATGTTTATATGTCAGATGTTGATATCTGGGGCTGTGCTGAGCACATCAGCCTGGAATCACAGCTCTTCTAGGGTTGTTCTGCAAAGGTGAGAAGCAACTGGGTAGTCATTTGACAACCCTGTTGAATGGTAAAGATGCTGTCTGTCCTTCCATCCACCTGATCTGCTCTGTCCTTCCACACTGCTGCACCAGGGCACGTGAAAACGAGAACGTTACTGTGGAAGCATGTGGTTCCTGCCATCTGAACATGGCAGCTTCTTGCAGAAATGGCGCTCAGCTGAAGGCTGCTCCTTAACTGTGCTGTTTCTGTGCAGAAGACTCCTGTAGGCTGGGAAAGAGCCATGTGGTGGAAACCACTAGTCTGAGCCTCAGGGGCTAAGGTAGGAAATGCAGGAAAAGGAATTGGTCCCACTCAAGCTTACTTCTCAGCTTCCTTCAAGTGGAATAAAATATGAAGAGAGTTTGGAGCCAAGAACTTGCTCAGGAAACTGGAGACAGTGGCCATGTGAGAGGTAGAACAACTACTTTGGGATTGCAAGTTCAGTTGACACGTGTTCCTGTTCTGTGTTTTATGCCTCAAGTTTGGACATACAGTAATGATGGAGGGGGTATCAAAAGTTGAGGGTGTTTAGGAAGGAATTGGGAAAATTCTTGAAAGAAAGGTCTTTTGTCAGGTTTGTAGGAAGCCTGAACCACAGATAATGGGAAGCCTGAAGAAGTTGCTTAGGGGATGTCATTAGAATCACAGAATGACTTGGGTTGGAAGAGACCTTAGAGGTCATCTAGTTCCAACCCTCCTGCCATGGGCATGGAAACCTCCAACTAGAGCAGGTTGCTCAAAGCCCCATCCAACCTGACCTTGAATAATTCCAGGGATGGAGCATCCACAACTTCTCTGGGAAATCTGGGCCAGTGTCTCACCATGCTCAGTATAAAACATTTCTTCCTTCTGTCCAGTCTAAATCTCCTACTTTCAGTTTAAATCCATCACCCCTTGTCCTATCACCGCACTCCCTGATAAAAAGTCTGTCCCCAGCTTTCTGACAGGCCCCCTTGAAGTCCTGAAAGGCCACCAGGTCGTCTCCCTGGAGCAGTCTCTTCTCCAGAAAGCAGCCCAGCTCTCTCAGCCTGACCTCATAGATCCATGCACCCCCTTTTCTGACATCTTTCTGTACGTGTCGGCTCGGCCAATATTGGTGACAGGCTCCTGGATGTTGGGTTTGACTTTATCAGCGTGCCCACGCTCCTGTGTAACCGATACTCTGTGGAGATGTGAAGGTTGAGTTCCCACCTGACATTACTGGGGTCTGTAGACATCTTCGGCAGCTGAGGTGGAATTGCTGGATTCCAAACAGAGCCTATTTGCCGAGAAGGTGACAGGAAGTTTGCTGCTTGGAGGCAGTAACATTTGATCTTCCAAACCAGCACCAAGGTGGTTTGCCATTTGCTACGAAGAAAGGTTATATTTGGTGTCAGGCTTTTCGGCGGGAGCTGCATAAATAGTACCGAGGGATGTGTTGAATCATTGTTTGCACTGGATCAACTGGGCTGCACCCCTTTAAAGTACGATTGTTTTGATCTGTTCCCTGTGTGGTTTTGTGTTTTGTTTTGTTTGTGTTTTTCACAGCTTTTCCGACGCGTGGCAGCTGCTTTGCCTGGAATGGAAAGCACACAAGACAAAAGTAGAGAAGACAGTATCCTTTATATGGCGGGGGCAGAGCACTGCCAGGCGTTACCGTGGACAAGGAAGATGAAGGCGGAAGGAGCAGTGTCTCTCCTGAAGCCCTCGGTCAGCTTATGGACATCCCAAAAAGAGACATGAGAAGGGGGACTAGGGGCAAGTAAACCTCGAGCTTGGAGTGCTGAGAGGGAATGCTGGGACTAGGGGTGTTAAGGGTGGAGGCCGGGGAAGTAGGGGTGCTTAGGGCTATGAGGTGCTGTCAGTGAGGACAACTGAATGAAAGCCAAAGAGAGGACAATGGGAAGGGTGCAGACAGATCCAGAAGGATTCCATGTGTGGTGTTTGAGCAGGTTGGATGTGGGGAGGGAGGGGGAGTATGGAGTGGGAGAAAGGAGCTGCAAAGAGGCCTGAAGAAAAACTCCTTGGCGCTTGCAGATCTGACCTACAAAATCCTGGAGTAAACTGGGTTGAAAGGGACCTTTATAGGTCCCTTCTCCAACTCCACTGCTCAGAGCAGGGCTAACTCCAAAATCAGGCTGGTTTCTCAGGGTCGTGTTCAGGGAAACGTGAGAAATATCCAAGGATGGAGATCCCATAATATCCCAGGCCACTCTTGCAGCGCTTGACCCTCAGACAGCTCTGGGTAGGGATCTGTGTGCTGCGAGGGAGGAGAAGACAACTGACAGGGTTGGCCTTAAGGAAGGGAAAGAAAGAGAAGCAGGTGAAGGTTTTCTGGAGAAGAGGAACTTTTCCAGGCTTGTCAGTTTCATTTGCAGCAGGGATCACATAGCTGGCAGCTGGTAAGTGGAGGAGAGATAGTGTTGTGGAGGAAGGATGCTGCAGGAACTGTAGGAGGGGGACAAACCTGGTGCTGAAACGACATCTCCTGTAGAGCAGCTTGCTGCCCAGGGGAGAGGAGGATTTGGGGAGCTGTGGATTACAACGAAGGCACAAGCTTTGCACTATACAGGCTTCATTGATCAATGATATTTTGTTATGCAGGTCACCAAAAGGTTAATGAGCAACGATCTTTCTTAATGAGGGTAGTGGGAGAAAGCACAGGCACTGGCTGCTGGGCCTGTTAGGGCGCTCGATCGCCCGTCTCTAAATGGGAGGGCGATGAGGGCACTTTGAATTTGACTCCCTGCAGAGTGCAGATAGCAGGAATTGAATGTGATTGTCTCCCAGACAGCTGCGCTGGGATTAACGGGGAGGATTTTCCATCGGCTTCTTTGCAGAACATGGAGGGTTCAAGTGTCTTGGACTGCTCGTGCTCGGTGATGAAGCTGGCACAGCTTATTTCAAGCGTCAGGGTGATAGGACTCGAGTGATAGGACAAGACAAAATTGCACCAAGTTGCACCAGGGGAGGTTCAGTTGAATGTTAGGAACAATTTCTTCCCCACAGGGGTTATCCAGAGCTGTGCCAGGCTGCCCAGGGCAGTGGTGGAGTCCCCATCCCTGGAGGGGTTTCCAAGCCCTGGAGATGTGGTGCTGAGGGACATGGGTCAGTGGGAACCTGGCAGTGCTGGAGAATGGTTGGACTTGATGATCTTCAAGGTCTTTTCCAACCGGAACGATTTGGTGATTCTGTCTCTGGCTTAAAATTTATTGAGGTTTAAATCAGCCAAAAGGACCAAATACTTGAGGTGAATTCTTGGTCGTTCATTTCCCGTTAGTGTTCATTTTCTCCTAACATCTGTAAGAAGCAACTTCAACCTCCTAAAGAACTAAGCTGGAACTACCAGCAGTGTGATCTGTTTGTCAACCGATCAGAGAACCGCTGAACTGCCATCGGTCAGGTTTGGGATCAGCATTCAGAGCTCCTCCTGTGAAGGGCCATGCAGGAATTCTAGTGCCACGAAGGGAGTAGGTTGTCACTGGCCAAGCAGGGCCTCCAGCAGCCTTAAGTTTGTGGTGACTATTAGCTGTCGTGGCGAGGGGTGAGTCCAGAGAGGCAGTGGGGTGAGCAGAGCGGTTTAGCGAGGGGAAGGGTTGATGGGAGAGTTCTGGATGGCAGGTATGGAGCGTCACACCCCTGAGCTGCGGGTGCTGGAGATGCACCCAGTGGGAGGAGTGGCCTTGCTAGGACATGGTGCTGGGGGATTCTCTTAGCCAAGCACATGCCATCTGCATTCAGACCCAAGTGTCCTGCCCTGAAGCTGAGTGGAGACCTGATGGTGAGAGGGAAGTACTTGCCAGTTGGCTGTGAAGTATAGAGGAGCAGGAGCTGTTATTCCATGAGTTCCTCCAGACTCCTGCTTTCTCCAGGGCTTCACTGTTCTTTGAATCAACAGGTGAAGCCCCTCCTGGGTGCCCACCAAGCGTGAAGGGCTGGAAGACTGAATCTAGGATTGACTGGGCCTAACAAGGTCCAAAGGAACCTTGACAAGCTTGAGAAGCAGGCACAAGTGAACCTCATGATGTTTGGCCAGGCCAAGGGCAAGGTCCTGCACCTGGGTCGGGGCAACTCCTGGTCCCAACCCAGGCTGGGGGTGCAGGGCTAGAGAGCAGCCCTGGGGAGAAGGACCTGGGGGTGCTGTGGGTGATGAGCTGGCCAGCAGCATGGGCAGCAGGGCAGGGAGGGGATCCTGCCCCTCTGCCCCGCTCTGGGGAGACCCCCCTGCAGTGCTGGGGCAGCTCTGGAGTCCTCAGCACAGCAGAGACAGGGACCTGCTGGAGCGGGGCCAGAGGAGTCCCAGCAAGGACCTGAGGAGGGAACCCCTCTGCTGGGAGCCCAGCAGGAGAGAGTTGGGCTTGGGCAGCCTGCAGAGGAGAAGGCTCCAGCTGGGGAGACCTTCTGGGGGCCTGCCAGGACTTCCAGGGGCCTGTCAGAAAGCTGGTGGGGGGAACACACTTTTGACCAGAGGGTGTTGGGACAGGACAAGGGGGTATGGTTTGAAACTAGAAGAGGGAGATTGAGACCAGAGAGAAGGAAGACTTGTTTTCCAGTGAGAGTGGTGAGCCTCTGGCCCAAGTTGCCCAGAGACAAGTTGCAGATGCCCCATCCCTGGAAGTGTTCAAGACCAGATTGGATGAGGTTTGGAGCAATGTGCTCTAGAGGGAGAGGTCACTGCCGATGGCAGGGGGGTTGAAATGAGGTGATCTTTAAGGTCCCTTCCAACCCAAACCACGCTATGATTTGAAACTGTGGGTTTCTAAGCTCTTATTGGTCCCCTCTGGAAATGGTGATTAGACTCTTCAGCGTATACATCTTGAATTACTCCAGTGATGACGTTGGAATGAGGAGAGGTCTCTGGGGAAGAGCAAACTCTGGTTAGAGACAGCGATTTGGGGTCTGCCTTTTTCTTCTGCATACTTGGGAACCTGCCAGTGCCAAGGCTGCTGAGGAACCTGTGTCTTGCCTTTGGCTTGAAGCTGGTCTGTTCAGAAGCTCTTGAAAACACTTCTCGGGTATTTCAGTGGAAAATTCCAAACTGAAAATGCCCATCAGAACCCTGCCCCAGCTGTGCTGGTAGGGAAATGGAGTTGGATATGGGTTTGCCTTAACTTCTTTCTCCCAGTGATTGACATAAAACTGGAAAAGCCTCAAGAGCAGCCTGTCAGTGAAGGAGGCTGTTCCTGCTAATACCATGTGGCTTCTACCTTCCTCCAGAACATCACTCGCTTTCCCTCCCTTTACTCTTCATTGACTGCAGTGTGAATATTGGCTTGAACCTTCCCCTTCCAGTAATAACGTATTTGCAGTTCATCATCGCTGGCTGTCTCGTGGAGATGATCTATTAGCTTCACAAGCACACACACACACACAAAGAAAATGTCAGTGTCTTCATTATTTATAAGAAAAAGAAAAAAAAGCCAAAATATTCCAGCGTATTCTAGTTATAACTTAAAAAAAAAAAAAAAGAAAAAAATAGGTACAATTTCTTAATATTTGTTCCTTTTTTAATATGTTATGATATTGCACTTTGAAAGGATGGAAACTGAGTAAGTTTTGAATGGGACTTAGACGAGGTGTACGTGCAGAAGAGTGCTTGCAGATCCCACCCGTTCGGGGTCTCCAACGAGCTGGGGGTGACCAGGCAGCGGTGGCAGACGCGAGCAGAGGCGTGTGCCGAGGGCTGAACGCTTATCCCCACCTTAATAAAACAGCAGTTGCAACCCAGCTCCTCATCTTCTGAGCAGAGATGCTCTGCCTGGCTCTCAGGCCCCCTCGCCAGCCTCTGCGGGGCTGCGGCACCATGAGAGGCTGCTGGCTTGTTTTCGCTCCTTGCCAGCGGCAGCGTGAGCGCGCTTCCCGGCAAGCAGGGGGAGAAATAGCAAATGTCTTTCCCAAAGGGCTGGAGGGCTTCTGGAGGATCCGGCAGGGAAGGAAAGGGTGGACGTGCATTAGCAGAACACTTGCAGGAAACAGGGAAAATAATATTTCGAGTGCAGGATGAGTTTTAAGAGCATTTTTTGTTTTTTTTTTTTTTCCTTTTACGTAGAACACCGATGAAGTAAATTATTACAGCCCGAGAGACGGGAACGTAACGTTTGAGCTGTGTGGAGGAGAAGGTGGCTTGCTTCTGGTTTTAGGGGAGATACGAAGGCACTAAAAACTGCCGAAGCGGATTGGAAACTTGTAAATTTGGCAGAAAGAGGCAAATCCTCGGGCCAGATTCCCCCGAGGAGACGCTGTGCTCAGAGGCCGGGTCAGGGCTGGGGAGAGGCAGTGGCCGAAGGGGAACTGCAGCTGGAGGTCGGCCGGGGAAGAGGGTGTTGATTTTGGTCATCCAGAGATCTAGTTGAGCAGTCATAGATGGCAAGGAAGGGAGTTTAATAGGATGGACACCAACTTACGATTCTGCAGATTTATGCCTTTATTTTTTAGCATTTTTTTTTTTACGTTCAGTCTTCCAAGTTGGTTTAGTTTGGTTCACTAGAGCTGTATAGTTTGGTTAAATAACTAGTAATTTAGTTTTCTATTTAACTAGGCTTACAATTAATCTTTTTTTTTTGATATTTATTTCTTTGCTTAATTTTTTTTTTTTTTTTTACTCTTTCCAGTAATTTCTTTTTTTTTCTGGTTCTGTTTTGCTGAGGAATCCGTTTAGAGCTTTGCTGATGTTCGCGAGATGTAGCTACCTGAGAAACACGGAATCGAACACACTAGAAGTGCACCCTTTTAATCTTTACTAGTCATTGTGAAGTTGCTGTGTAAGTTAATAAACACAATTGTAAATACATTGTTTGCTGGGCGATTACGGCTGAGTTACAGTGCAGGAAGGAATTCGTGAGTCAGTGCTGCGATTGCTACTTAAAGGAACAATTGCAAGCAAATATTCAGGCTCCTCCTTTTGTTCTCTTCTGCCCCACTACCATCTAAAATAACCAACTGGGGGAGAGAAAGGGAATCGTCCTCACCACCACTTTCCCCAGGAAACGGGCTTAAAAAGATTTGGAATTCTTCATTCCCAAAATGAACAGTAGGCTCGTGGGTCTACCCACCTGGGGTTTTAGAGCAGCTCTGCACAACAATAACTTCAAGGCAGAATGAGATGTAAAGTGCTTTTATAATGCAATATTAAAGGCGAGTTTTTTTTGACGTGGCATGTCTTGAAATAAACATCAATGATATATGACAAAGGATCATTCTTTATTAAAGAGAAACTCTTGGGGGGAAGGAAACCTGGCTGCTTTTCCTGTGTCGTACTCTACGTAACTGTGCAAAAATGGTTCATCTCACTGCTTTTTCCCTTTTGGTTCCTTGGGGTTTTTTTTATCCCTTCGGTTCGTTCTTTATGCAGCTTACGTTGGGCATCATTTGGCTGTTTTCCACAAGCTCACACTTCTTTTTTTTAATTTTTTGCTTCTGCTATAGCCAAGCCCTTTACATTTCCCACAGCTACGAGCTTTAAGTGCTGGATTTGCAAGGAGCTGGCTTGGCACGTGCATGCTACGGCGGACGAGCAGCTCATGGAAGCTGCTTGTGGAGAGCAGCTGCACGTCTGCAAGCAGATTTGGTCAGTGGGCCCCTTAAAACTCACTCTAAAAAACCTGAAATTAGAAAGCAATCCCACAAGCCAGCACAGCCCAGTGGCTGCAGGAACAGGGATGAGGCGTCAGTTGTTTGCTGTTTATCCCCCAGGAGGTCCCTGAGGTGAGCTGGGGACAGCAGGTACGTTTAACCTGCGTCCTTGTTTATCATGCTGAACAGGACCGCGGGGCTCAGTCCTGCCCAAACCCCTGTTTTCCAGAGAAAAGACACAAAGTGAGCGCAGGAGCAACACAGCCTTTTTTTTTGTTGTTGTTTGAATTTGTTTTTTTTTCACTGTTCATCTGTCAAGTTTTAGCTTTTAATTTTATTTTGCTCCATCACCATGGCCTGTAGAACCATGGAAACAGGCTGTTTTTTTAAGGATGATTTTGTAAACAGTGAAGGTTTCTGCTCTTGTTTCTTTTCTCCTCCCTGCTCTGGCTTGATTGTTGTACAGTCCATCATGCAGCTATTCCATTCCTCACTTTTTGTCTTGATAACAAGTAGTTGAAGAAATTGTATAAGGGGAAAAAGGTTCTTTTTCTTCATGTTGGAATGTCACTGGTACCTCAGCTCTGTTTGATAATATGAAATGATGACAAGAACAACAAAAAAACCCAAATCTTTAGCGCTTGAACTAAATAAATACCTGTCTCATTGGAAAGCTCTGGGTCTTTTCTCTAAGCATGTCCATCAGAATGCAGGCTCGGGGCTGCAGGGCACAGGCTGCTGCTTCCTGCTCGTGCTTTTGCCGTTTGAAGTGCTGCAGGAGGCTTTTCTTGAGGAGAAAAGTAAGTGGTTTGGGTGGGCTTGGTTTTGGTTTGCTTTTTTTTCAAGGAAAGATGGTAGAATTGTGTCCTCGTGGTTCTATACGGTGTCTCTGCGATTGTTTCCAGCCACCGACGGGGGATCTGGAGGACGGGTACGGAGAGAGCCCGTCCTGTGCGTGCCTCAGCTGGGCCTTTCCCTCCAGATCCTGCTGCCTCCTCCAGCCCCTTTCCCAAAGGTGATCCGGGCGCCCTGTGCGGCCCCACCGTGGCTCCAGCGTCCCTGGGTGCCTGCTCTGAGACCCCACCTGCCTTGAGGAGGAGCCTCCTTAAGCTTCTGTCTTGCTGGAGATGGGCTGAGTCGGTGAGTACCAGTAACAGATGCCCTTTGGTGGAGTTGTCCTCGTGTTCTGGGGGAATGAAGTGGTTTTGGTGGGGGAACACCACTTGAACGTCTGCCGCTTGTTCAAGCTCTTCTATATGAAAAAGACCGTCAATCAATTGGTCATGAAATTAGACAAGGAAGAAATTTGAATGTGGTCTTGTAGCTGTGGACATGCACTGGAGGTGGCCATGCAGGGAGAGGCTTTTGTCACTGAAGGGACCTTCTGTTCCTTGTACCTGCCACCTCCAGGTCCTGCCCTGGGTGGGAGCATCTGAAAACTGCATGTTCCCCTCTCAAAAGGGGACTTAGGGCAGGTGTTGTGGGAAGGAACTGAACTTAGAGAAGTGGGTGTTGTCTCCTGAGTAGCACTGAAGCGCGATGGTCTCGGTTCCTCCTTCCTGCTCCATCTGCTGTTGAATTCCCACATAGGCTGCTGCTGAGTGTGGCCCTGGGGCTGCTGCTTCACGTACCGGTATCTCCATTTCCCACCTGTAAAAAGGACATGGACCAAACTGGAGAGGAAGGTCTGCCTCTCAGCAAGGCATGGCTCGGGGTCACCCGTCAGCTCTGGTGCGGGATCTGCTGGAGCGGGCCAAGCTGTGCTCCCAGCCTCACTTCTGATGAGCTGTGGACTCGGAGAAGGAGCGTCTGGCTCGGGTTCAGCTGCCTCATGCTGCTGGTGGCTTTGTCTGCTCGGCTGGAAGGGTCAGCGGTAGCTTTGCGGGGCCTGAGGAGCCGCAGCGGCGTCGGAGCAGCATCTGCAGAGCTGCTGCAGCGCGCCGGCCCCGGCCCCT